TGCATCTATGGCCTACACCCCAGCTCTTGTATGCATAAATACATCTTTTTTTTATTTTATTTTTTTTAGATTTATTTATTTATACAAGCCCTGGGTACAGTCAGAAGCGCGGGAGGGTGAGAGAATTCACCAGAGCCAGAGCGGGGAGCAGAGCAGGCAGAAGGACCGAAGTACACTGCTGAGGGAGCAGCGGGCGGCAGGAGAGGTCTGCGCGCCATGTGGGACCCTCCTCCGGTGGCTGGGGAGCAGCCGGGGATCGAACTGGCACTGCAGAGGCTGCAGACAGCTTCTCAACCCAGTGCTCAACCGCTGTGCCACCGGGGAGGCCCTTTAAATACATAAATCTTTAAAAAAAAAAAAAAAAAAGGTCATCTCTATGGGTCTTTCCATCTCTGATATTGTGTGACTATCTTTCTATGTTATGAGAGGGAGGAATAGAGGGACGGCAAACAGTATGGACCCTGGGCCTCCCTGGTGGCACAAGGGGTTAAGACACAAACTATGAAGCTCGCCGCAGCTCACCGCAGCCATTGCAGCGCAAGTTTGATCCCCGGCCAGGGAGCTACCCGCATGGCACAGCAGACCTCTCCTGACTCACCTGCTGCTCCCCTCAGCAGTGTATTTCAGTCGATCTGCCTGTTCTTTTCCCCACTCTGTCTCTGGTGAATTCTCTCACCCCCCACACCTCTGGCCTGTACCCCAGTTCTTGTATGTATAAATAAATAAATCTTAAAAAAAAAACAAACAGTATGGACCCTTTCAAAGTCACCTATAGGTCATGACTGGGATGGAGCACCAGCTGATATTCCACCTCCTTGGCCAGTGGCCTGCAGCAACTGATATGTCCACCTGATATAAAGAGAGCAACATGACACAGGATTCAGGTTCTGGATACTCATTCTGTGCATAACACCATGCATGTGAAGTGCTGGAAGGGGGCAAAAGGGCAATCAGAGAAACAGTCCTATGTGAGGGCTGGCATGAGCATGAGGCATGTTTGGTTGTGCTGAGCAGTCTGGGTATCTTTCTGCCCTACTGGCCTCCAGGGAAGACACATCAGATACATGTCAAATGATTTATTCTGGGTTCATCTCCCATTCAAATGCATGTCTCTTGTCTGCCCCTAACCTCAGTGCAGCTCAGAGCAGTCCCACACCCTGGCCTAGTCTCTTGACACCTTCCCAGTATCCCTGGTATCTGAGGAGTTATTCTTAAGATCTCAAACAGGTGGCTTCTGTTCCTAGATTCAGGCCAGAGTAGAGGGCCAATGGGACCCGCGGCAATGGAGCAGGTAAGACCTGAGGCCTTAACCCTGGAGTTTGCACATAGCCCTTGTTCTTTCTCTGGGTGCTCCTGGTGTCCAGTTTGGGCATCTGCTTCCAGAAAATCAGGCTTGTGCCCTACCTACTCCAAGACACAATCTCCTTAGTAGGGACATCCCTTTAAAAAGTAATAATATAACCAATACATCAGAGGTAACATACCTACCTATTCCATTTCTGGGTATTTATCCAAAAATGCGAAAACATTAATTTGACAAATTCTGTGCACCAATGTGTTCACTGCAGCACTATTCACAAAAACCAAGATTTGGAAACAACCTAAGTGCCCACTGACTGATGAGTTAATGAATACTACTCATAAAAAATAACAAATCCTTGCCACCTATGATAACATGGATGAACTCGAGGGTATTATACTAAATGAAATAACGCAGAGGAAAAAAAAAAAACAAATATCATCTGATTTCACTCATGTGAAATATTAAAACAAGACCAAATAAATGAACAACAAAGCAAAACATAAGCTCCTAAACACCGAGAACAGATTGGTGATTACCAAAGGGAAAGAAATTGAAGTGGATGAAAAAGGTATAAATGGTCAAATGTATAGTGATGGATAGAAACTAGACTTTTGGGATGATCGCATTGTAGCATATACACATGCAGCAGTATGTTGAACCTAAAACTTAGATAATGGTTAGAAACCACTGCTACTTGATTTTTTTTTAAAACCAGGGGGAGTAAAGAAAACAACCTCTGCAAATCTCGATGGTGTCTCTGATGCAGGTGCCTAATAGTGTCAGTTTGTACAAAGGAAACTGAGGCTCAGAGAGAACTTGCTGAAAGTCACACCTACTATGTATGTTGGTGTGTTTATGGAACCATGAAATACACCCAGTGTGTCTGATTCTCCCTCCTCATACCTCTTAAGCTGATGGAGTGCTCCCTATGGTACGGGATGATGGGAGGCTCTGTTTCCCATCAGTACCCCATCATCTGAGAGGGCTCTTTCAGCCCATGACAGCTGTGCCACAGCCTTGCCCTTCCCTGCAGTCTGTTTTCCTACAGTCAACAATTGCTCACAAGAGGACCTGGCTCAGAAAGGGACAGAGGCTCAGAGTAGCCTGGGCCCTTGACTGAGCTCACAAGCCCAGAAGGCCTCAAATCAGCAGCACTGGAAAAGGAGACATGACATCCAAGCATGTGTGCAGGATGGCAGGCTGCCCCTTAGCCCTGAGATTTAAACATAGGTGAATTTGCATCTGCCAAAGCCCTGTGTACATGCAGGCATACACATGTGCTTTGTGCCCCGCGTGCATGCTTCCGTCAGCTTACCATAATTTTGTGTAGGTGCCTGGGGCTTTGTGTCTCTGTAAGAGTCTGCAGGCTTGTGCATGGGAGGAGTTGTATGTGTGTGAACGTGACCCCACCTTGGTATGCGCACGTGGGCATATGCATAAAAAATAACAAATCCTTGCCACCTATGATAACATGGATGAACTCGAGGATGTTATACTAAATGAAATAACGCAGATGAAAAAAAAGACAAATATCATCTGCTTTCACTCATGTGAAATATTAAAACAAGACCAAATAAATGAACAACAAAGCAAAACATAAGCTCCTAAACACCGAGAACAGATTGGTGATTACCAAAGGGAAAGAAATTGAAGTGGATGAAAAAGGTATAGCTGAGAGAGTGTGCTCAAATTCCATCTTGCGTTTGCAGATTTGTTCATATGTGAATGGAAGGGGTTAGTGTCTGGGATCTGGGATAGAGGTCCCTGACCTTCTCTTGTGGCTTTCCCACCTTCACAATTTCTAAGACACTGTGTTTGTGGCAGGTCTGAGAGGTTGAGGTCAGGAGTGCAAAGGGGTTTAAACACTGCCAGTCACTGCCAATTAGAATGCCTAATTGGAAGATCAAACCTCCCAGGCACTTTCACTAGCCCCTTGCCCTGTGCTTACCACTAGACCCATGCCCTTCTCAACTCTGGCCTAACCACCCTTGCTGCCATGGCAGCCACCTCCTTGCACTCATCAGCATAGGGCCCTTCTGCAATGCCCCCTCCCAAGGCCGCTGGAGTACTTTCCTTAAAAACCACCCATTTAATTATGTCTCCACTTTACTGGAATTTGCCCCATCCTTGTCTCTGAAAACGACCTGTTCCCAGACTTTGGGATTTCATGGATAAAGAAGACAATTTTTAAATAACTAAATACAGAAACAAAGTGTGCCTTTTTTATTGTGATGGGGCCAAACATTTTAAAAATCACAAGGGGATCTCTCATTCCTATTTCATTAAAAAGAAGATAATTTGATTCCTCACCCCAAATGAAGGACATAGTAATATCCAAATAAAGAACATCCCTTTGAGTTGACTTAATTTAGCATTCTGAAAACTGTACTACATCATCCCCACTTTTTCTCTCATTTTACTACAGGTAGTTGAAAACGTCACTGAGGTTAGTGAACTAACAGACCATTTTCAATCAGTTTGGTTCTCCATCTCTAGCGCTCCAGGCACATTGCTACACTGGCCCTTCCCCCAGCCCACCACCCCTGGACTGCCTGCAGACTCTTGCTCAGAGTTCCCTCTGCTAAGCATGCCTGGAATGTCCTTCCCCCCCTTGTCATACTGAAAACTCTTCCTTCAAGCCTCAGGCTCAGCCCAACTGTGACCTCCCTATAAAACCTTTCCTAGTCCCTCCTAGTGGAAGTGATCTGTCCTTTCCAAGAGTCCTAGCCTTACTTTCATCCTATCTTATAGTCAAACTTGTTTAAAAGTCTTTCTACTGGGTTGAGCCGCAGAAAGTCACATAAAGTCGAGAAGAATTTGCACTTAGGAATTCAGATCCTAACTCTGCCAGTCCTATCAAGTGACCTTGCCAAGATTTCTCAGTTTCCTTTCCCCACCCACCAAAGCAGGGAAGTAATGGGTGGTGCTGAAGATTACCACAAAAGTTCATTGAAAGTGCCTATGTCTGATACATAAGTGGTACTAAACAAATATCATTCCTTGGTTATTGAGAGCAGAAGTTGTTCTTCACATATCCCTCTAGTATCTGAATGCCCCAAGTCCAGGATGTAGTATGCACATAAAAAATGTTTATTGACTAACTCACTATCTACCATAGTGTCTTGCATGCAGTAGGTGCTTGATAAAAGTTTGTCACTTTCTCTACCTCCTCTTTGAGGACAGAAGTCAAGTCTCCTTTTGGCTTTGTGTAATTTCCATGTTGCCTAGCACAGAGTGGGTGCTTAATAAATGTTGATGGAAATTAGTACTAATGATCATAATAATAGTTACCATGACTCATATGGATGCTATATTCCTGGAATCATGCTGGAACTTTACACACACATAATCTCTTGTATTTGTATGCATTTAATATATAAACAGTAACACCAACGTCATCATTTTAAAGTTGAGAAAACTGAGACTCAGAGAGGTTAAGAATCATGCCTTTGTGGCAAGGCTGAGGAAGCAACAGAGACAAGTGTTATGAAAAAGAGTCAGTTAGCCTACTGATTTTCATGGGAAAGCAGAAGTTCGCAGAGTGGGTTAAATGACAAAAGCAAGATTTGAACCCAAAATTTTCTAACTCCAAGGTAGTCTCAGAAGCCCATCTGCCTTCCCAGTTGGTGTGAGGTGGTCCCCAGCTGTCTCATAGATCCCTGAGCAGCAGGTGGGCTGGGTCTAGGCAGGCACTTACCTTCACTTTCTTGAAGCAAGCCCAGAAAACATCCAGCAGAGGCATAATGGGGGCACTCGAAAAGTAGCAGGGCCCAGCAGAGCTCTGCTGTGCACAAGTCTCTCCCTCTCTAGGGACTAGGCTAGAGGGGACTGGGGGCTTTGTGAGAGCCAGATCTAGTCCTAAGCTCCATCAGCGGGCACCATGAGGGGAGAAGGCAGAGAGCAGTGGCTTGCCTGAGCTCAGTTCGCCTCAACTCCAGGAGCCTTCAGGAAGGAAAAAAAAAAAAAAAAAAAAAGGACAGAGGGAGGGAGGGAGGGAGGGAGGGAGGAGGAAGAGGCTAGCTAAGGAGGAGGGACTGGAGGCGGATCACCAATTCAAACTCTCAGACTTGGCAGGCACCGTTAACCAGTAGTCTGGGACTGAACAGCAATACCATTTGAAATTCCCTGAACTTGGAGTGTCAAGCCTGCCTGCTGTCTCACCCGTCAGTCCTGCCACCTGCATCTGGCAACCTGTCTGATTGCCTCCTGCCTAAGGCCACACCAGCGCTCCCTGGGGCCTCTGTGTACAACCAAGACAAACAGGGGCTGTAGAAAGTGTGCCAACAAAAAGGGGAAAGAGAAGAGAGCCCTCGGTCTGGGCAGGACATGGACAGTATGAAGACAGTCAGTAGGAGGATAAAAGCTGTGGCCTCAGGAAACACTCTCAGACAGGTATTCTGAGCTCTGGGTCAGGGGGTCAATTCTCCAGCTCTGCTCATTAATGTCAGGAATCATGACTCACTCTGGCATCTCAGGGAGGCCCCTTCCTCTCTGGGCCTCAGTTTCCCGGTGGCATAATGAAAGGTAGGGTTTCAGGTCTCTGAGTCTTCTGTTGGGGTTATCTACAGGGAAAGTCTGGAAAAAAAAAACACCATTCTTCACAGGAGTCATAGCTCCTCTTGAAATGCTTGTGTTTTGTCAGGTAATGCCCCAAAGAGAACAAGAGCTCTCAAAAGTCATTTCATCCATTCCCTTCTTTCAGGGTATAACAGCTGTCTCCCAGTTCAGATAGACTGAGACTGGATATGAATCCTTTCCAGAACATCTAAGGAGATAATGGCTTCCTTCCTTTGTCTACTGCCATGCTCAGAACTGCCCAGTTCCAGAAGTTCAGCCTGGAATCTGAACTTGAACCCTCTGGATACACTGAAGTCAATTCTTTCAGTGGAAATAGAGTTAGCACTGGGCAGTTCTGTAGGCTTTCTGGGCAGGATGCCATTAAGAATCAGTGATTCCTCCTCCCCCCAGGCCTCAGCAGGCAGGGTGCCATGGCTGATAGCCAGAGAGCTCCCAGGGACCCCATGGCAAAGGGCCAGACTTGGGTCTCTGGGAGCACATGTCATCACAACGCCCAGAATAACTTACTCCCTCTGATCTCCCCTCCGTGTCACAGATCTGAGCTGGTCAGGAAAAAGGCCAAATTCTAGGACCTTGGAAGGTCCTCAACTCCAAATCAGCCTTGAGGAAGCCTCCACCTATCTTTGGAGATTTTCCTCATCAGTGGTATGGCCCAGAGGCTTGTCCTAAGGGTCCACAAAGATCCCTCCAGCTCTGCTTACAACTTATTCTGTGGCCCTTACTTACCAGATTTGTACTGCAAGAGGTTGTGATAACTGATCTTTCACCTCTAACCCTGACCTCCAGCACTGTACACATGTCCATTCTATTGGGCCTTTCAGGATGGCAGTCAGCAACAGGCAAGACTAGTGGCTCCTTCTCACCTGTGTCCAACTGCACACGGGCTTAGAAGGCGAAGTCCTCTACACAGGGCAGGGTAGTAACATGAAGACCCAGAGCAGAGGTGTGCTCCCTCCTCAGAGCATTCACTCTCTTGCCTGCTGCCAGAGGGTCTGAGGATGGAGAACCATGGGACAACAAAGGAGGATGGTTGGGCTGCATAGCCAGGGCACAGGTCTACGTGGATGGAGCGTGGCCTTGCTCCCTGGAGTTCACTTCCTTCTTTAGGTTCAGACTTTCTTTAGGTTCAAGAGGAGTTGTGCCTGCTGTGGCTCTGGGCATTCGTTCAAGAAACTATAGTGCATGGCACACTGACCTGAGAGATCAGGAGACTTTGGCTTTGGTTCTAGGCCTCTCATGCCATCCATCCCTCAAGAAATCACAGAGCAGTGTTGGAGCCCATGAGGTCTGGCAGTAGGCTGCCTGAATTCAAATCCCATCCATACAATGGGGGGAAATTCTAGTACTTACCTTGTTGGAAGGTTTAAGTTAAATGAACTAAAACACTGTACTGTGTCTAGCATAACGTAGATTTGAATGCTGGGTCTGCTACATTCTGGCAATGTGCCCTTCAGAAATCCACTTCACTTCTCTGAACCTGTTAGCTCATTGCCTATGGATTCTGCTCTCATAACCAGAGGAGTACTGGTAGGAGTCAAGGAGGTAGCAGAAAGACAGGGTAGAATTCTTCCACATGAATTTTGTTTAAAAATGATTTATGCATGTATGTATTTGTACTCTCTGTTTCATCCAATGATCAGAGCTCAAATCCAAGCACAGCTACTTTTTAGCCAAAAAGTAACATCTCAGCAAGTCACTTTCTCTCTGGAACCCTCAGTTTCCCTGGCTATAACATGGGGATGAGGATAAAAATCTCTCCTCACCTCCCAGGATTGCCATTAAGGGAGAAGGGACATGAAGAGACTGATGTGTAGTGGCTTCTGTCAGTTAAGGGGAATCTTCCCTTCTCTCTTCTCTTTCTGCTCTCATGCCTGAAGGGAGCTCTGAACCTGGGGAGTACTCCCTTCCCTCACACCCAGGGCTTCCCATGATAGACCGAGCAGATATGAAGCCTGCTTTCTATGGTGGTGAGAGTGGAGAGAGGTAGGATGTATGGAGAATGTGACAGCTAGGGCAGGCAGAACTGGAAGGGACTGTAAACCTGTGGGCAGACAAGCAGGGAAGAGGCTCTCACTTTAACCCACCCAGAAATTGGCGCTGCCTGCAGTGGGGGTATCTCCACAAAGTCCTGAGCCACCAGCCTCTGTCAAGGGACCCCGGTAAAGGACAAGAGAAGCCTGATTTGGCTGAGGTCTGTGAGTTAGGAAGAGAGGTACCTCTTCCCGGATCACTGTGTCCATCCCTCTGCCCAATACCGAACAGATCCCACTTGGGTTCCCCAATGGAAAAGGCTGTAAAACATGAGACAGCTGGTGGGAGAGCTACCATGACCACACCTGAGAGGAGAAATCCTACACTGTCCAAACACTGACAAGGATCTGATACAACAGCACATCAGTAAAAATTTAACAAGAAAAAATAAAATGAGACAAAAGTCAGAGACGTGACAGAACAGCTATTCTAGGGATTTTTTTTTTTAATTTCAGCACACCTTTCTTCTATTAAAAGTCATTAAAAACCAAAGAGTTTTTATTTACATGGGTTATATTTGTGGATGGTAACCTACTTAGAAATTAAGACTGAGACTTTTTTTTAAAGATTTATTTATTTATGCATACAAGAACTGGGGTACAGGCCAGAGGTGTGGGGTGGGGGCTGAGAGGATTCACCAGAGATAGAGTGGGGAACAGAACAGGCAGATTGACTGAAACACACTGCTGAGGGGAGCAGTGGGCGAGTCAGGAGAGGTCTGCTGCACCATTTGGGTAGCTCCCTGACTGGGGATCAAACTTGTGCTTCATAGGTTGTGTCTTAACCCCTTTTGTCGCCAGGGAGGCCCCAAGACTGAGACATTTAAAGAGGATTGATTCACTCACTCATCATTCATTTGAAAAAGATTTTACAAATCAACAGATTAACATAAATTACAGATATTAGAACATATTTTTAATATATTTTATGAATAATATTTTCTAGAACAAAAATAAATTTTCTCAGAAAAGTGCCATGATTTTACATTTTTTGCTATTCTCTTTAATGTCTGGCTTAGTGGAAGACATCCAGGTTTTCATTGCTATTTCTGCATTCAGTCTGTTGTGAGATGGATGAAGTAGATCAGAAAATTCTGCCTTCCACAAATATATAGTTTGAAAAGGGGGATTTTGTTGACTCTTGGACTCTAGGGTCTCAGGAACCTATAGGAATGGCTGGGGTATAATTTGAAACCACTGTATTACGAGATCTTAACTAGACCTCAGTAGAAAATCCTGGAACACATGAGCAGGAACAATCTTGCAGAGCAGCCAGTTCATTGTTCAAAAAGGGAAACTGAGGGTCAAGTAAGGGAAGGGAGTATCCAATCTACCCAGCAAATCAAATGCAGAGCTCGGACTTGCATCCATGTCTCCTGCTGCCTGGAAAAGTTCTTTTCCCCATCACTTTTGAATAAATACAGCTTTATGGTGCTAAGGGTAATACAGTAGGGAGGACTTAATCTGGGTTATAGAGAAGTTTGTGTTCTGGTACCAGATGTATCGTTGATGCTGCAGTCAGGGCTTTTCAGAACATTCAAAGATCATAGAATAAGTAAAGAACACAGCAAAGATTCCAAAATAGTCACTGGGTGTTTATAAGGAAAAGTTGGTCTGACTCACCTATCAGCCTCAAGTACCTAACAGGGATCACTATAAATGATGATATAAATGCATGAAAGCTGAGGTGGGGTTCCTGTAGCAAGGTCTAAGCAGTCACTTCCCAGATTTAACCAGGAACCTGGTAGACAGAAAGAAGGGGTAGAATAATTATTCCACATTGATTTTATTTTGAAATGATTCATATAAGTATGCATGTATTTATACACTACTTTTCATTCAATGATGTCCAGTCGTTTATCAACAATTATTTATTTGACACCTACTGAATAGCAGGCAATGTGCTGGGTGCTTTCTGCCAACAAAAGCCAGAAGTGATTTTAGATGAGAATACTAGATCCCACTGCACTAGAAAACTACCTGTCATTGCCTACTTTTATTTCAGTATTAACCTGTTTATTTTATGCTCATTTTAATGAAAGCCATGGCCTCAATGAACACTTGACTACAATATTTATTGGACGCCGCAGTGAGGAATTGATTTTATACTTGAACTTCTTTTTTTTTTTTTTTCTTTTGCCTCGAAGTATTTGCCAAGCTTCCGATGAGTGAATTCCATGTTGATGGAAGGAGAAAGAAAGTGAAGCCTGATGGAAACAGTTTCCTAGTAGCACACAAGAAAGCAGGCACATAGCGAAAGGCACAAGTCTAAATTTTCATTTCCAATAATTACTGCCAAAACCAGAAACATAGATGTGAAACAAA